TTTAGAGAAATGTCTGTTCTGGTCATTTTTGAATTGAGTTCTTTTGTTATTGAGTTGTAGGAATTCCTTATATATTCTGGACATCAATTGCTTATCAGATACATGATTTGAAAATACCTTCTTCCATTCTGTGGGGGTTTTTTCCTTCACTCGAGGGGTAGTGTCCTTTGATACACAAAAGTTCCTAATTTTGAGGAAATCAAATTTATCTTTACTTTTGTTGCCTGTACTTTCAGTGTCATGTCTAAGAAATGATTGCCAAATCCAATGTCATGAAGATTTCTCCAGTATTTTCTTCTAAGAGTTTTTTTTTTTTTTAATACTTTTAACTCTTAGATTTAGGTCTTTCATACATTTTGAGTTAATTTTTGTTTATTTTGTAAGGTGAGGATCCAGTGTTGTTCTGATTTTTTTTGCATGTTGATTTTGAGCCTGCAACTTTGACCTCTAATAATTTTTTGGTGCAGAATCTTTAGGGTTTTATATATATAAATCATGTCATCTATTAATAGAGGTAATTGTACTTCTTCCTTTCCAATTTGGATGAGTTCTGTTTCTTTTTCTCATGTCACTGATCTGCCTGGTGCTTCCAACGTTGTGTTGAATACAAGTGGTGACAGTGGGACATGCTTGTTTTTTTCCTGATCTTCGGGGAAGAGTTTTAGTCTTTGACCATTGAGTATGATGCTAACTGTGTTTTTTTCATAAGTGGCCTTTATCATGTTGAGGATGTTTCCTTCTATTCCTAGCTTATTGAGTATTTTTTTTTTATCACTAAAGGGTGTTCAATTTTGTCATTTTTTTCCTGCATCAGTTGAGATGATCACATGGTCTTTTTCCTTCATTCTATTAATGTAGTCTATTAGCTGTGCTTACATTCTGGGAATAAATCTACTTGGTCATGGGATATAATCCTTTTAATACACTGCTGGATTCTGTTTGCTAGTTTCTGTTGAGAGTGTTTGTTTATAAGGAATACAGATCTGTGGTTTTCTTGTAATGCCTTTGTCTGGCCTTGCCTCATAGGATGTTA